CTTCTGAATTATGGCCCCAACAGTGCTCACTGGAACCTTCAGAAGTTTAGACATTCTTCTGTAACCGATGGCATCATTCAGCTGGTGTCTTGGCTTTCCATGCCTTTTTACACCTCCCTTTCTTCATGTGTTCAATACTTTTTCCCTGTGCCATTCCACATTATTACAAATAACTTCATTTCTGGACATTTATGGTTTGATTTCTTTGTATGTATGGATCACTTGGGTTGTTACCAACATCTGGTGAAAATTTCATGTCATTAGCACCTCTAGTACTATATTTACTGAGAAAAATGGTGACATGTTCAATACTTATTTTACCCACTGTATCTCATAGGACCACAGGTTAGTTGGTGGCTCAAAATTGTGGAAAAATATTGAAAAAACTATGTAATTTTTTTTGCAACCGTGCAAGCAGCAAGCAATGACTGGTTGTTTTAAGCAACAAAATTCAAAATCAGTCACTTGATCAATCATGGTCTACTTTGTGTGCACAGATGGAAGAACGGCATTATGTCAACATTATCTCAGCTCTCTGGTACCAACTGTAGCTACCTCTACGTTTCTGACTTAATGCTGAAACACACCTTTAAAATGAAGACAGGCCGATCTGCACAAGTTTTTTAGAGGTTATTTATCATCAGCGTGACCTTCAAACCTGGACATTTGCCTCCGATGTTTTCAGAGAACTAATGTGCTTTTAAACTACAGCCTCAGTGACACAAACAGTGCACCCCGTCTTCTCACCAAGCAAATTTAGAACCCGGCAAGTTGCAAGGCCTTCTGGAGACAATCTGGAGACTTTCTGCAGTCTCCCTCATGAATGTTGTTTCCCAACTTGCCACAGATCATCAACATACCTCTTTATGTTATTTCTCATTGCTTCCCTCAGCTCCTCTGTTTTACCAGCTCATTAAAGCTACATCTCATCCAACCATCAAGCTCACCTGCAACTCATTCCAGTAATCAGTTTAAACAAACCTGTTTGTGTCTTTGGATTCCACTGTTTTTCTCCAATGTTCTTGGTGTTTCTCGCTCCCAGTTGCAGTTTTATACAGAATAAATTTATTCTGTTTATTACTTATTTTTAATGCAGTACACATACTGTTTCTTTTCCTAGGTGAACTAGGATTGGTTTTGATAACATATTTTGCGTAATTATCTATTTTATGATTAAACTGTGATTTAGCTGAAGTGCAGTCTGGTTTGAATAAGATGTCAAAATCTAAAACAGAATGTACTTGATATGATTAGTTAATACACGCCTTAACACTCACAACACTTAACTATTTTCTCGTTAGAACTCAGTCCGTTGTTTAAGGATCTGGTCATGTGATGGGGAGGCCGCCCAGTCGATGTGACAGCTCGCCCCTAGGGAGTGGCCAGATCCAGAAGAATGTGTTTATAATGTGCTGGCTTCCTGAAATCAGGGCCAAGAGCTAAGACTGAATAAATGGTCTATATTTTGGTCCAGCTGTGGTATTGTGATATGTGGTATGTTGTATGGCTTTATTACTTGCATTTAACATTCAAGTCTAATTCTGGATTTGCTTCCTCTGTCTTTTCTTAAAGACATTTTTATTTTTCACTCCTAAACAGCCTCAGAGTCTGGCATTTGGTTATTTTTCACCACATTCAACACAACACACCTTGGCATTCACCCAGAAAAAAAAAAAGATTTAATCTCCTGACTAGTTTACTTATTATTGCTGTTATTAATATTATCGTCAGTGTGGGAAGGTCTGGATGTTTCAGGTTAAGGCTTTGGTTGATTTCTGAATGACCCTGAAACTCAAGGCAAAAAAATGCAATTCTAATCAAGCATTACTCTCTTAAAAAAGGACAATTTAAATGTATGCCTCAATGAGACTCATCCAAGCAGGGTCTACAACCTGACACTGAAATTATCTACAACTCAAGGCTTTAAGGAACTGAAGTAAACTTTGAAAACCCCTGGCTTATCAGTATGTCATTCAATGGGCTTACTTATCAAATAATGTTTCTAAAGTAATTTACATTGTTATAATAGTATAAAGCTGGGGCTCATAATGATTTTTTTCACAGTCCGTAAGAAGTTTTGACCCAGAACGCAGACAGACACAAGGACTTTGAAGAAACAACTGAAATACCTTCCAAAGAAAACAAGACAAGTGTTCGTGTTTCCTTCAAGTCCGCATCAAATGCAAGGCACAAAAAACCCTGCAAACAAGATATAAAAATGAGAACAAAGATTTTTTGCGCATTAGTTCGTTAACAGCAGCCTAAATGAGTGAACGTTGTCTGTTGGTGCAGTTTGATCTTAGTTAGCCTAAATATACAGCGGCATTCGTAGATTGTTATCAGTTGTGCTGAAAAAAAATAATACATTAAATAAATTAACAGTTTTTAAAGCAGATGTAGGATGTTAAAATCTGAATGTAAAATCATGGAGTGGTCTAGCACGCCACATGATCGTTCATTCATGTTGACAATTAACAGTTTGACCTCCAACAGCGCAACTATCCATTAACACTACTACTTATAAGAAGGAGAATAAAAATGTGACAAGTTACAACAATTTAGAAGAGAATAGGATTAAACGACAAATCAAGTCTCTGGAAACCAAAACAAAAATGCTGATGTGGCAGGAAAAGTACTTACCAAAAAACACAAGGATGATCTAATGGAGCACATAGAGCAACACAAGGAGGACTGAAACGAAGGCATGAAGGCCGATGAGTCTCCAGAAACAAAATGACTTATTATAATAAGGCTGAGCTGATGAGGAAGTAAAGACATCTGAACAGGTACAGAGTAAACACAGAAACCAAACTCCACAGAAAACACGAAACTAAACCCCAAACAGAACACTAAACACTGAAAAAACACCCAATGTGACAGTACCCCCTCCTCTAAGGATAGCACCAGATGTCCCAAAAACCAAACACTCGTCTGACGGGATGAAGGAACCAAACACATTTAGGGGAAATCATGTTAAACAGAAAGAATCAAGGGAAGCCTGTTTGTCTGCACCACTGTTCAGACTGACTTGAACTTTAATTTCTTATTCTGTAAGCACAATAAAGATTTTCTAGTTATTTCTTGTCTCCAAAGACAAAAGGCAACATTGTTTTTACTTCTATATCTGTGCTTGTTAGTCTTTAGTCTCAACAAAATACCTCATGAACTAATTCAGTTCAGTTTATTTATAAAGCACCAAGTCACAACAAACATCGTCTCAGGGAGAGAACTGTACACAGGAACAATAAATCTATAGAACCACTGAATGAACTTCATAAAAGTAATTATTGGATGTACATCTACAACTAAGAATGGTCATAACTCAGCCAGTTTTACAGATATTTAGAAAAAAGTGTTAGTCATTCTCATCACATATATTTACAACTACATTTTTTGTCCCTTCTTCTACCAAATGATCTTAGTTTTAAACTTTAACATAAAAGCAGTGGGAGATCTGCATTTTCTCTAGGAAATCTGGGTCTTTTTTGTTTGTTTCTTTGTATGCAGCTTTAGTGCCTGTGTTGAGCTGAATGTTATTCCTTTATGTCTCACCTCTGTGGCTGTGACTGGGCAGAAAATGAACTTCTCTTGCTTTAAAAGCAAAGCGGATGCAGACGATGAAGTAAATGACAAAAACACTTGACCTTTGGAGCTTTCTCCTGCTTTGTGACACTCTGTCCTCCTGACGAGACAGCTTGAGTGGGTTATGCAACACACTGTTTCTATTAATGTAACACACCCTATCTGTCTACTCCTGTTCTCCATTTATCATCAGATGTGCAGCGCTTGTTATTTACCTTAAGTGTGAATTCTATCTGCCAATCAAACTCCCCACACTTTCTCTGTTTAAGACAGCATTTCACCCAAATAAGTGTCTGCATTTAGATGGAGCAGACTTGGAGAGGCAGAGCGATGTTTACCCTCCACAGATAGTATAAAAGATAAATCTGCAGAAGACAAGCCTGATCCCAGTGTGAATATCTCTGCCAAAAAGTGTAGCCTTCATGGATACTGATACTGTGCTCTGATGAGATTACTAAATGTGATATAAAGTAAAAAGTGTGTATTTGTCAGAGCCCAGTTCAGTACAAAGATTATCAAGAAAAAAACACCCCAAAAAATATGAGATGGCATCTGGTGGTTCTGGACGAGCCGTTGTGTTTATTTAGTGCTGTGTCAGCAGCTCTGGTGTTTCACTCCTCCAAGTGCCATTTAGGAGGGTAAAGTGCACCTGAACCTTTGTAAGGTGCTGACGCCTGTACTCCACTCAGATTTATATCATTTCTGATCAATTTTCCTGTGTTAGATTCCTTTATAGAGTTTTGATAGATCGTCTAACCCTGTCTGAAAATATTTCACAAAGGTTTCTTTCATATTGCAGTATAAATATTAAAAATTTACAACGTATCTATTAGGGGTGGAACTCTTTGGGCACCTCGTAATTTGATCCCATTACAATTCAAAGCACTGCAGGGCATAAATAATATAATTATTGAAACATGTATTTGTCTTGATGCCATAAAATTTGCAATGAACTTTCTAATTTGCTTCACCTTTCCTGTGTTAGATTCTGCACTTCCACACTTCATTACTTTTCCTAACATGACACGTTTTAAACAATAAAAAACAACAATTTCTGACATTTTTAAATAGATTCAAAATCACTTGTGTTCAACTTGTAATGCTTCAAAAATATATTATAATCCCAGCCTCTACATGTAATATATTCTGTGAGGCATATTCATGTGTTTTTGATCATTTTGAAAGGGATTGAAATAAAATTGGCGGCAAGTTCAGGGCTGTAACCAGAAACACAGCTTCTCTAGCAGCTGTAGAGGTTTCCTGCAGGCAGGGGGACGTCTGCAGGATGGATGACCAGCTCAGCAGCCCTCCATGAATAATATATTTATGTTACAGCACACAGATGGAAGTCAGTTTGAGTAGAATGCAGAGCAGCTCACTTGCAATTTGAACCCCCACCATGGTGAAGTATAGAAGTGGCAGGATTCACTTCAATTCAATTTATTTATAAAGTGCCAGTTCACAGCAAAAGTGATCCCAGGACACTATACAAAAATTTAGGATAGAATAGAATATAATAGAATAATCTTTATTGTCATTGTGCAGAATGCACTTCCTGTTTTAGTGCAAGAAAAATGCAGACCAACTAATTTCCAAACAAAATTCTGTTATACAGCTTACTAGAAAAAAACAAACTTAATATAAAAAAACGTAAAAAATTAAAGAAAGTGCATCTCACAGGTAAATATTATTTTCAAGTATAGGATATTAATATGACTATAGCACATTGTTGAAATAGAACTTGCTCAGTGGACGAGTCTGTTGTGTTATTAACAAATATGTTGTACATCCATCATTGTGATGGTATTGGTGAGAAGTTGAGAGTGTTATTCTTGAGATGGTCTGTGCTCTGCAGAGGCAGAGGGAGATGTAGATGTCCATCAGGGAAGGAAGAGGGCAGCTAATAGTCCTCTGTGTTGTCGTCAAATGCTGGAGTTGGAAAATCTGAACTTTTGCAGCTCAACACGGTGTGTCAACCAATCAAAGAGACTCTGCTATGTGATGTAGTGGCACATTTCACGACGGGACGGTCTCCTGAATGATGTCCACTTACCTGAGACAGATGGACAGGAGCTCTGCAGCTGAAATCGAGTGCCTGTAGTCGGTCTCTTGGCAGGAGATGTGAGTACCGGTGTGGGTCAGCAGCTCATCAAACTGGACTTGAGACAAAAATAGTGGTGAAAGCGAGTCTCATCAGTGTGCAGCTCCTGGGGTGGTGAAACTCACCAAACTCATGCAGGACTCTCGTTTAGAGCAATTTTGACAAGCGTCTGACCTCAAAGTGCACAAACGTCCAACTTGAAGCATTGGACGCATTTTTGATGCTCAAAATGTCTGAACGCAGCATCAGTGTGGTCCCAGCTGCACCTTCTTGTTGGCATTTGTAATGTTATCTGTCCAGGAGAGGTCAACATAGATCAAGATACCCAAGAACCTGAATGTGTTCTCTCTACACATTCACAGGGGGCTAGGTCAGTTTTATTCTTCCTGAAGTCCATGATGTTCTCCTTTGTTTTCATGATGTTCAAAACCAGATTGTTCTCTGAGCATCAAGTTGTTGACTTCTGAACCTCCTCTCTGTAAGCTGCCTCATCTCTCTTTGAGAATAGTCACTGATATACTGTAGTATTGTCTGTAAGTTTGACGATGGTGTTGTTTTTCATGGACAGGACTGCAGTCGCAGGTGTACAGTCCCAGGGAGGGAGGCCCAGGGTGTCCAGCTTTGTGTTCAGAAAGTGAAGAATGATTGTATTGAATGCCAAGTTATAGTTCACAAAGAGCATTCTAGCATAGTCCTACTGTTGTTTCAGAGTGGTCAGCATGGTGTGGCAATGTACATGTAACCTGCACAAAATAATCCACTCATTTTATTGTGGCGGGTCACTGACGGCACACTTTAAGTTCCGGGTCGTAGGTGAGCTCGGATCTCTATTGCTGTTGCTGCTGTCGCTGTGGCTAGCTGCTCGTCTTGGCGTCTTCTAAACTTATGGAAGAATACAGCTGGATTGAGGCTTATTAACCCAACCGAAGGACTTAATTGGGTGTTTTCTATCTACCGCTCGACGGTCAGGTTTTTTTTCCACCCCCTGTGTCAACCCAGGATGGCGAGCTACGGATCACCGCAGCTTTGCGGTAGGAATTAAATGAACCAAGCTACTTTCTCATTCTGGACATATTTGCAATGGATCATGGAAAAAAAAAAAAACAATCAGATAATTGATTGATGGACCATTAATCACCCTGAACTCACAAATGGACTCAAAATAGAAAAACTCTTGGGTGTCATCAAGGTTTATTGTTTTTGTTGTTGTTTTGTTTTGTTTTTCCTGGTTGTGTCTTTTGTTTA